TTCGCGTTGCTTGCACTTTTTGCACTCAGCATCTTCGCTTTCTTTCTTTCCAACGGCCGAATATATATTTATTTCATTTCAAGTGCAAAAATGTTTGGGGATTTAAGCAACGCGAACAAACCTATTATAGACGTGTTTCCCAAATAAAAAAGAAAAAAGAATGTTTTTAAAATTATGTCTGCTAACTATACGCTCAATTAACTTTTATTAATTATAAATAAACTATTATTTCCTAAACTATGAGAATATATTCCTAAATTTGCCTAAACGATTCCCAAATAATTGCAATAATAAAAAATAAAAAATATCAAATTTGTTTGCTATATGGAGGTCTTTATATCTCAGTGCCCTATGGTCTATCTATTGTATAATATATCTATGGTTCGGTCACATGATCGATGACGTACTTACGCATGCGCATTAGTGTGCGGCCTATTTATTTTACGATTTCCCAACACTGTATAGTAGAGTTTTCTGGTCACGCAGCGCCCAGCGGATGTTTCGCCGTCGTCACGTCACTCGAATTGTCCGCCATTTTCCCTTTGTCGTTCGTGTGTGGATTTCGCTCACAGATTGGAGTGATCATCTTGGTATAATCTGTCAACGAGAATCCCGCGTGTTCTACCACAGTCGAGGACGTGACGTTCGAAAAGGAAAGATGAGTTACGGTAGGCCGCCGCCCCGCATCGATGGGATGGTTTCCCTGAAAGTCGACAATCTCACGTATAGGACGACGCCGGAAGATCTGAGGCGCGTGTTCGAGCGATGCGGCGAGGTCGGCGACATTTACATCCCCAGGGATCGCTTCACGCGCGAGAGCCGTGGCTTCGCGTTCGTCAGGTGAGTGCCGTTACAACAGCCAACGGCGTCAGCCCCGCCGCGAGCGTTGTGTTCGAGCACGTTTAATTAACCGCTCTTATAGGCGATACCTCGGATTCATCGACGCCAACGATCACGCTGACGTCACGATGCGAGTGCGCTAGCGCTAATTCACAATTCAGTGTTTTCGCGTCTGAAAACGATACTCCGTCGCGACACATTTTCAAATGAAGCATGAAATAACGGTAGATCTTTGGTATAGTGGCGACTTTTTCGAAACTTGCATATTTTATACGTCGCCAAGCGTCGTGAAAATGACTGACTCGACACGAAAGAATTCATCACTCTGAGCTTATTTTTATACAATCGGACCTAGAAATAAACTTGGCGCTTTATTGCTCATAACATATAAATTTTTTTTCCTCTTTCGAAATATGTATAAAGTTTTAGGTATTCTTTATTCATATAAATTCCATATATTTGGACTTTGCATCGTAATATCTGTGTTCATAGGGCATGTAAGGGAAAAATAAAAACACTTTTATTATATAAATCGACCCCAAGCTATCGATCAAGCCTACTTAGAACTTGATCCGTTCACTCGTTATTGAGATCTCAACATCTCGAGTACTCGCAACTCGTCGCGTCGCGTAAATGAGTCACGGTCGGTCTCGCTTCGCGCGTACTTAGCGCGAGATACTACCGTGTTTCTTGATTTCTGCCTAAACATTAATGAAGCATGTAACGGAGAATCATTACTTTACAAAACACTATGATATTTAATCTGTAATACTTTGTTAAGTTTTGACAGAAACAAAGTATCACTGTTTTATAAATTTTTAATTGATATACTAAACAAAAGTCAAGCGTATTTGCAAAGTGATGTGGAAAGCTCGTAGGTCAATAAACAAGCGATAATGATATTATTAAGTAAAACATGATTTATTTTCTAATAAAAAAAAATTAATGGAATTCTTTTATATAATACTTTTACAGTAAAAATTTTTTTAAGTATAATGATGAGTTTGTTTTAAAGTGCAGTTATACAAGATATAAAAAAAATTTTTTTGAGCAGATTTTATTTCTTTAGATAGTTTAGATACATTTCTAGAGATAAGAGGTATCTGTGTATCGATATTTATATGTATGTATATGTACATATATATATATATAATATGTATATATATATACAATTTTCTCGAGCATATCTATATGTTTTAGAAAATGCCTCATAAAATGTGACTTTTAATAAAATTAGAATGTGATTGCACTCATCATACTAATAATTTACTGAAATAAATTTCTCTGGTGATAAATTTGGAGTTGATACATATACAATACATTTGTATTACAAACATATTCGAATAAGGAACCTTTGAAACTCTGCAATAAATTTAACATTTTGTTCCAACTCGATAACGAGATAAAAACCCTTTATTTATGAAATAACTGGATTTTATTATGTTGTGTCGTCATATTTAAAGATTTAATAACTTAAAAGAATACAATAAACTCTTAGAAATATCTGTGTCAAATGTAACTCGAAATTCGAGTTGCTGGAATGAAATGTATCACAATATCGAACGTAGCTCAATTTCCGAGAGCAAAGGGTTAACATAAAGCTTCCATTGATAATAATTTTAGTTTGTTCTTTTTTATGTCTGGTAAGTGTTATAACTTTGAAAAATAAAAGAATTCTTGATACAGAATTAGCGATCCTAAATCTTATTTGTACGTACAACAATAGATAAAACTGTCTATCTTGCATACGATATAAGTGAGTCATGCAACTGCATCGAGAAAATATATAAGAAATAAGTTGCTGAAAATATATAGAAGCGTAAATTGAGCATATATATATATATATATATATATATATATATATATGTATATGTATATTGTATATGTGTATATTTCTTGACAGATTTTATGATAAGCGCGACGCGGAAGACGCATTAGATGCCATGGATGGACGATTGTTGGATGGCAGGGAACTCCGAGTTCAAATGGCACGATACGGACGGCCAACGTCTCCGCATCGCAGCCGTGGAAGTCGTCGTCGTGGAAGGTGAGTTTTCATTGCTTTCATTTTAGGATCGTTAAATTAGTAAGACGAGAGAGGCAGATGGAACAAATGGATTATCAATTTTCGCTCAGATATTTCGTTTATTTGAAGATTATACGAACGTGTTCGCAGATCACGAAGTAGAAGTAGAGACCGCAGACGTTCGCGATCTCGTTCTCGTAGCAGGTCGCGTAGCCGCGACAGAGATCGCAGGCGCTCCTACAGCCGCAGCCGTAGTCGCTCTCGTTCGGACAGCAAGAGCTCGCGCGGCAAATCACGCTCGCGCAGCAAGTCTCAGGACAGGCAGAAAGATAGTCGTTCCAAATCCAGGTGAGAATTGTCTAAAGTAATTTCAGACTATAAAACGATCGAGTTTTCCCGATCGAGTAACAAACCGTCGAATCGTTTTTCTCTCATGAGTGATCAATTGTCACGTATGTTTCCAGGGACTAAGCTGATTGAAGAGTGTGCGAGAGAATAAGAATGAGTGCGCGCGTATCCAACGAGTGCCGAATAATCTATGTTGAGATTAAAAGAAAAAAAGGTATTCCATTACCCTCTATAGCAACACTCGCACGCTTCTTCACGTTCTTCTATCATTTAAATACATACATGTTAAACAGATATATATATGTATGTGTATATATATATATATATATATATATATATAT